AAAAATAATCAGCAACAACTCTCATCACTGCTGTTTTTCTTTACTTTGATTAATTTACAGTGAAAATAAACATTAATTGCAGCTTTGGTCTGATCATAACTGACTTTTACACCCATGCACAGTGGCGCATCACATAACACTGGAAAGGAAGCATTCACTTTAACATAAAAACAAACAAAAAAAATCACAACTCAAGGCCCACTTAGCAAGATTTACTTTGAAGTGCAGCAAACTCCATCTGCTGATGAAGACTGAGAGACTGGGCTGAATGCTGATTTAAAGGCTTGTAATTAGACCTCAGGTGAAGATTTGCTGTCTCCAAGGTCAACAGTGAACTTTTGTGAACTTTCAGTGCAACGGTGTCTAACAGATGTTCCTTACGCCGGCGCCATGCTGCGTTTTCACATTTGTGTGAAAGGGCAGGAGGGATGGTGAGCCCGTTGACAGATGGGTCTTGGACGGTCATATGCTCGTGCTTGCTGGATCTCATGATGCCAGCTGCGTCATAGGTGTGTTCTCAGCATTTTTGTTTTGTTTTCGTACTTTTTTTTTCATTTATAGAAATCTTTCTTGGAAATCAAAGTTGCAGATTCAGTAACTTGTCCCTCCCCCTCTGGCTCAGTCACAGTTATAAAGTGCCACAGATAAATACTCAACCTGTAGGACACACTGGTGGTTTATCCACGTGACCCTTAGACTTGAACTTTAGAAAACACAACACAGTCTCTGTTGTGGTGTCCATGAGGTCCTCAAGCCAATAAAAATAAAAAGAAGTCTGTGTATTAACCATGTGACAGATTGGTGACTATCCAGTGAGTGTCCTGCTCTTGTCCAGTGTGTTTAGTGTAAGTTCTTGACTCGACAACTACTCACTATGCCATGTACGTGACCTGCGGCAGTCGTGGTTAAAAAAGAGCTTTTTGTGCGTTCAATAAATGAGTAAATAAAGCCTGAAGAAGATAGACATTCTGGACATATTTGCATTGAAGTGAGAATTGGGACACATACATTATCTACAGGTCAGCAGGTCCGGAGGGGAGGAGGAGGGAAGCCCTCACAGTCTGAAGCATTTGAGTGTGTGTGTGTTTAATGCAATGATCACTCACAGCCACTGAGCTGATGTGCATGTGTGTTCTTGCATCTGTAAATGTGTTGTCTGTTTGAACGCTTGTTTGTATGAGGATTGATATATCAGCCGTATCTGCGTGGGTCTGCACATGTGCTCAGCGTTTTGCTCTGCGTGCATATGTCTGCGCAAGTCTGTAACACTGTATGGAAGTGTGCCTGACCCTCTGCTAGAGGCAGGGTCCTGGCCTGTTTCTATCCAGGTGTGTGTTTTTGGCCCAAGGGGAGATGGAGCAGATGGTCCCTGTTTACATTTCAGAGTGTGTGAGTGTGTGTGGCTGTAACTGACTGGCTGTCAGTAACATCTCGCTGGCCAAAGATCTGCGCCGAACAGAACGTCGGTTGGAAGAACACGCCGGTTAAAATCCAGGTTTTGGTGCAGGGAGGTTCAAAGTGGTCCGCTGAGGCTTTGCACAGTTAAATCTGGGGTAGGTTAGAAATCTGGAAGAGGCAACAAATAAATAAATAAAATAAGAAATGCTAGATTTTGAAGATTGCTCTCTTCCTGAAGCCGTCCCTTCTTACTAGTCGAACACAAGCATATAAATGCACTTCATATGTGCTTACACGGCTTGACTTAGCCATCAACTTTAACTTGAAATCAAATCAGCCCCAGTCGTGAGTCTTTGGCTACAGTAAGCAGAAGGCTAAACGTTTAGCAGCATTGAACATAGCTTATTGTGGTCAGCTTGCCTGGTAAACCTGCCAACCTAAACAAACCAGAATCACACATTTAAACCTTACAGGAGAGTAAAATTATCAGCTTACCTCCTTACTGAGAGTCTATTTTTTTTAAGGGAGCTGCTTCAAAGTGTAGGTAGTTGTTGTCAATGCTGGAGTAGCAACTTTTCCTGCACGATTTTCTTTCACTGAATCAGACTTTCCACCGTTGGCTTTCTAAAGGGACGTTCATCCACATCTGCATTTGTGGAACGGCTGATAATTACACCCACTCTCTGTGATTGACCAGAGTCTTCTGTCACGGTCAACGTTTTCTAAAGGCTGAACACGGAGCCAAGAAGATGTGCAGAAGTCCAGTTTCCAGTTTTTAGACCTTTTGAATTACAATAAGCCAAAAGGTTATTTTGGCCTTTTTGATGAGAAATTCAGTTATCTATCAAATTGAAAGTACTTTTCTCCCATCTCTATCCAATGTTTATGTGTACATTTAGCTTTGTTGGTAATTCCTGAGCTGGTCCTCCAGAGTAAGGCTTCCACATCCATGAGTACCTGAGGGATCCACTAGTGTCGAAGCAATGCTCACGTCATCATCAGAGGGTTTTCATGAGACTCTACACAGACGTCCATGTACCCTCCAATTTTTTATGATTGCGTGAACAAAGACACCAATTGCATGTATTGTGCCTGTATGGAATGCAAACTCCAAAGAGACTAAAAAGCAGCGTAATAAGGACAGAGGAGGGGAACCAGACCTTATATGCAACAGATTAAGGTCCGAATTTGCAAACCTCATAAATAAACTGTAGTTTCAAGCTCAAAACCAAGTGGAAGAGGGTAAAGATTTCTGTATGTCTTTTAAGGACAAATGATGTGTTATAGTGAAGAAGCAAACCACACACAGAAAACTCTTCATTCTAGTGTGTGCTGACTATTTCTGAAGCTGGTCAGTTCAGTTTAGTAAGAGGAGA